TGCCATTGTAGACAATATGAGGAAGGATCACATGGACCTTCTTGTCATACAGACACTTGGGTAAAGTTTGGACCAGATCAAATTATCGAGAGACAAGATTTGATTGGTAGGACATCAACGTTGTTTGGCCCCTTAAAAGGTTGAGTCTGTGAACAATGAGTCGAGGGATCAGAAAACCCTCCCATACAAGCGTCGACTCTGCCTCATATTTTTTGAATGCAGGAGGGAAGGCCCTAGTAAACCATTCAGGACCATATTTCCTTTCTGCAAATGGGGCCATCCTTGGTGTAAACTCGTATCGTTTGGCAAACATCTTGATGAAGCCAGAAAAAGATGCCCTAAGTATCTGCCCCTCTTCACTAGGGGTCATCTTTACCTGAAGAATCCATTCGACTCGCCTCTCTTTGATTTATGGATCTTCTTCGTTGACCGTCCCTTTGTTGGAAAGGCTAGTCTCGAATGTGGCATTAAGCCAGAGTTGGAGTAGCCGGAAAGGTCCCGACAACAAGAGATTCACACTGCTCTCTTGGTCTTTCAGTCGACCAACACCTTCACTCAGAGATTCATACAAGCTGGCCAATATCATTTCACTTAGGCAAACGCCTCGATTAAGATGTAGTTGATTGGCTAGAGTGAGGTATTTCCTTGCCACCTGCAGAGATTTGGTACATAACACATAGCGAGAAAGCCACATAGTCAGAAGTGCTATATGTTCTTGGTCTTCGACTGTGTCAGTTTGTTTGTTATGGTAGTGGTTGATGAAGTGGGTCTATGTGTGCTTGATGGTGGAGAACCCTATGGTGTCCCGAGCATCCACCTCAGGGTCATAAACCAATCCATGTGGTTTTAGCCCTGTGATAGCGCCTAAGTCGAAAAGGGTGGGTATCATCATCCCACAAGGGAGGTGAAATGTATAATGGGTACTATCCCAAAAATACAAGGAAGAAGCCAGCAGAGTTGGACAGTAAGTAGGACATGTCTTCGACATCATAATCAAGTCATAGATCTCGGTTTTCTTCCAAGCCTCTGCCTTAACTTTCTCTACCTTGGTCAACCAGTTCAAGTAGAGGTCAAAATATTTGAAGTATGGAGTTGCTCTAAATAACCTAGACCCATCATTCAAGTACTTTAGGTATATGTTCTTTAGGGCCACGATATCATGAGGTTCAACGGTTACCTTGGCTTGATCTTTCTGCCCTAAGGGTTTAGTCTTACGGTAGGAAGGGAAGAAGTTTCTAATGGTTGAATAATCTGCACCTAAAGTGGATAAAAGACCAGATAAAGCTAGGGGTTTACCAGAAACGGTCACGGAAATCATTACCTGAGATTCGTAGATGTGTCTCTTCTCTTCTCTAAGAGGTTCAGGAATGAACTGTTGGTTCTTCACTACCTTGGGTCCGCTTAATGTAGCAAAGGGAGGAAGCAATGACACACTTTTTGGCTCTTTGACCTTTGGATTTTTCTTTTGATCTTGAGTAGCAGCGATTGAAGATGCCATTGTTAAGGGTTTGGAGAAAATGGGTTTACTGAAGATGAAGAGTTAAGAGTGTTTGAAAGAGAAGAAAATGCTTAGTGATTGCTTTGGAGTGGGAAAAGTAAAGATAGTTTCTGAAGAAATTATTTATAAAGCGTATGGAAGTAATAAAAGGTCACTAATCATCATTAAGGGCTAAAAGGTAGTGGGACACGTGGCGTCCCAGGAGCGAAAGTGGGGGCGGTGGCAGTTATTACCTATGTCCACGATCTCATAGAGCCTAGGAGAAGTGATGATGTCCTGTGATTTGGTGTGATTTCCAAGAAATTGTTTTCATAATTGCCCATGACGTCATGGATATGTTTGAAAGAAATTGAACAGTTTCTTAAGTCGTGGGATGGGCAGTTATGTTGACACCTATGTGGAGTCGAAAGATGGCGTCAAATAGAGCACTATAAAAAATGGTCTTTTTCTCCAACACTGTCGAAAAGGACATTTTTGGGGGGCAATTTGTTAGCTCAGAAATTCGACGCCCATATTAAATTGGAAGTATTGGTTGGAATGTTAAATTCTTGATGTAGTGTAAATGAGTCTTCGACTGGATCTTTATGATAAGTTAAATCGAAGGCACTTACATAAGAGAGGGATACTTTTTAGGACTTAGAAAATATTTCTAAGAGTTAAAAAGCTCCTTTCGACCGAGAATGTTGTCCAATACTAAGGGAATTTGAAATTTGAATAAAGGAGGGGGTAATTATTCTTGTCCACTCTTGAATAAGACAAGTGGCGCACATCCAAGAGGCAGATGTATGAAGCGCAACACTTGTCAGATGTTAATCATCTTAGGAAGTTAACATCAGTTAATTTTATTATTATAAATAAGGGGTTCTAGCAATAGGATGAGGTGTATTGTGTTCACTTTGTACAAGTCACTCCAAATTTACTCAAAGTATCCGTGTGTAGAGAAAATAGTCTTGGGAGAATGTACGTGATGTAAAACACCATTTTTCTTCTTTAATGAAATTTACCTTCACTTTGTATTAAAAGAGTTTATCTTTTACTTTCCTGCAATTTACATCTTCAACATTATATCTTGTTTCTTTTAAGCCTTTCTATTAAAAGTCTTCAGCCCTTCCTTCAATTTAACGCTCTTATGTTTCTGTTGAACCATGCACTCCAATAAACTTTTCTTTATAAACATTGTCGAAGTGTTTAGTCTTTAGAATTCTCTTTGAAATAATATTTAACACATGTCCTATGATCAATCTGATCGATCATGTGAGTTACCAAAGTTAGATTTGGAAGACCAACAATTGTTTTCCAATTTTCACAGAAAACACCATCACACCACACTCTATTTTTTGCAACATTTTGTGGGTGTGGACATTAACAAAAATTTATGCAACTTAGCCTTTAGGGATGCAAGGTCCGCATGCCCGTCCCACAATCATTTTTTCCTGGAGCGGACCAAGGTCTTAAGTATGCACCCTCAATTATGTCATCTTCACCCCACCCCAATTTTTTATGAGGTAGATATGTTTGCTTGACATTCTTATTGTTAGCTTTTGATGTGACGAAAGTCATTCATTATGTGGGATTGCTAAACTATTTTTCCTTCTCATATGTTCGTTCCTTTAAGAAGATTCATATACCAACATAAGGTTGCATCATTCATGGTTCCTAAAAGGAGCTTGCATTTTAGTGAATATGATGCACATATGATGGTCATCTATGTGAATAAGGCAATGACATGTTCTAGAGGGTTACTCTTCCCATCAAACATTACCAAAGAGAAGGGTTTGAAACTATTCAGGGCAAAGGCTTCCATGATTTTAGTAGAGAGAGTTGGATGTGTTTTTAACCTTTATTCTCTCATATAATACATCTTCATGCTGCTTTTTATGCTCTAGTTGTTGGATGATCTAGATCATGGCTTGTAGATTTTGGTTTTGGATATCCATATCGGTTTGCATGTCTGGTAGGGATTTTTGGTCGCCAAAACATGATGCAACACATGCAGCAACCATTATGACACAAAGGCTACGTCAACAAAAATGTTTGAACATGTGCAACCCAAAAATGTTTTATCAGAGTCCCACAATGGATGTCAATTATATTTGTTGTGCATACAATAGTATAGACCATGTATGTAATATGAAAAACAAAAAGTCGTACATTGTTGATTTATAAAGAATCTCATGTTTAGCCTAACACTAAGGTTGATTGACATACCCCTTCATTACCTAACAAGAAATGATTAATCATGGGGATATTTTCTATGTTATGAACAATGTGATCCCACTATGGCAAGATGGTGGATGACTCACTTTCGAATTTATCTTAGGACATGGCGACTTTGCCCTATCCAACTTGCCTAACTTAAGCTGAAATCTCTCATATTTTTCACTTGATTGGAAGTGAATGGACCAAATTAAATAATACAAAATGGGTATGACCTACAATATTTAAGATGCTCTAAAACCCCTAACACAAAATCTATAAAAGAGAAGTGTCAAATAAGAAACATAATACTCCACTCATAGGTAGTTGTAATTTCACCCCTTAAATATATGAAAAAGAATTGTTAAATAAACATTATTTTTAAATAAAAAATTATCTAACTATAATATTAATACATTACTTAATTATTTTTATGTTGGATATATTATTTAATCCATTATATATATTGTATTAAAAATAATATATATATATATATATATATATATATATATATATATATATATATATATATATATATATATATATATATATATATATATATATATATATATATATATATATATATATATATATATATATATATATATATAATTTATTTAATCTAGATAAATAAAAATAGGACAATAGATTAACAAAAGTATGATATAAAGTATGAAAAGTTAAAATGGCAAAAAGCATTTGAACATGGGCTGGACCCGTGTCGACGGCTGATGTAACGGAAGTCATTAATTATGCCGGATTACCAACCAAACTCTTTTCCCATCTCATACTCCATTCCCCTTTCAATACAATAAACAACTACTACAACTATTTAATTTTCGAATCCATCCATTAATAATAACATGTTCGTAATTCTAATAACATATAAATATCATAAAATAAATATTTATCTTTTTAATTACCAAAATAATATAATTTCGTACATCACCGATTCATGTACAAAGCGCGTATACTGAAAATACTGAAAATAAAATAAAAACTGCAGTGTGTGAAGTGTTGTAGTTGTTGTAGTTCTAGTAATTCACAAATCTCTTCTCTTCTTTTTCTCTCTGCTTCAATGCGGAACATTCCAAAACCCAAATCATTATAATTCCTCCACTTGCTCACTTTACAACTCTTGATTCGATCTAAATCACAAAACCCCTTTTCACTCTTTTCTCGGTAAATTTCTCTTTTTCTTCTCAGGGTTTTTTTCTTCGCTCTAATTCATATCTTGTTTTGATTCTTTTTCTTTTTTTCTGTTTTTTTTTGTTGCAGTTGGTTAGGGTTTTGAGCAGAGCCGAAGATGGGTGAAGGTGAACGTTTTCAGCTGGGGACTGTTGGCGCCTTGACTCTCTCTGTGGTTTCTTCTGTCTCCATTGTTATTTGCAATAAAGCGCTCATGAGTTCACTGCATTTTATTTTTGGTAATTTTTTTTCCCTTTTTCATTCTTGCAATTTCTTTTCATTTTTTTTTTGTTACTGATTTTATGTTTATGTTGTTTCGTTTGTGTTCTGATAGCATCGATTGAGTTTTGTTTTGTATGATTTGTTGTTAGAATAGAATTAGATGTTTTGAATTTTGTACTTTAGCTTTGGCATCATTTGTTGTTAGAACTATTCATTGATGATGCTACTTGTATCTTAGGGTGTGCTTGTGGAAATTTTGGATTGAAAGTTACGTTATACTTGCTTGGATTAGTAGAATTATGAGAAGGTGGAAATTGAAATGTACTTAATTTTCGGTTTTGTTTGGCAATCGTTTTCCACCAACTTAACCTATTATGCTTGTAGTAAGAGTAGAACTTTTAGTCGGGTTTGTCGAATTTTAGAATCTATCATTTGTCTTTATGTTTGGAATTGGAATGTAGTTTTTTTGATACGCTACATGGGAATGTAGCTGATTAATCAATTTGTTGGTGTCCTTTCCTTTTCAAAATTAAATATTGGCCCTTTGGAAATTGGAAGTATAGATTGTTGTATTTGTTAACCGTTACGGAATCTAGGATTATGTCATCATTCCTGACGTTGACACTGCAACTGAGTAATTGGAATAATGCATAAGTTGCCTCATAAAGAATACCACTATTGGAAATTTGAGCTTTCACTTTTATGTTCAGTGAATTGTCTGAGATTACAAGTCGGAATTGTCTTTTTATTGCAGCTACAACTTTGACAAGCTGGCATCTACTTGTCACATTTTGTTCTCTTCACTTGGCACTTAAAATGAGATTCTTTGAGCACAAACCTTTTGAGCAGAAAGCCGTTGTTGGATTTGGGATTTTAAATGGAATCTCAATTGGACTTTTGAATTTGAGCTTGGGCTTCAATTCTGTTGGCTTCTATCAAGTATGGTTTTTGTTTTTATTCTGTTTGTCTCACGTGTTGATTCCATTGTTCTTGACTTTGAATGTCTTTGATATTTGTATTCAGATGACTAAGCTTGCAATCATTCCTTGTACCGTACTCTTGGAGACCCTATTTCTTGGGAAGAAATTCAGGTTCTATATAGCTTCCTATCCATACTATGATTTTTAAGACTGTTTGTCGTTATATACTTAAATATCTTAATAGTGTTGCTAAATACTAAAATATGTTACTGGTTAAGTATGTATCAGTCAATAATTGTTCATAAACCTACCTAATTTGTCCGTTTTCTTTTCTTGTTCTCGAATTTTCCATGCCCTCCCTGGCTCATTGTTTTGATCTGAAATATTATGGTACTCCCTCCGCCTCATAAAAAGTCCTATTTGAGCAATGTGCGATTCTTAAGAAAATGATTAGATGGGTTGATTTTAATGATAAAGTTAATAGCATTTACTAGAATACCCTTATTAATTATATTTTATAGAGTAGTTGAATAAAGGGAAAGTTAATAATTAAGGGTATAGTAGTGGAAAAATAATAATAAATGCTGCATTGGTATTGTAAAGGGACAATTATTTTGAGGCTGAGAAAAAGTGCAAATGAGACGGAGGGAGCATCCAGTAGTCATGGACTCGTGCTCATTTTTAATGCCCAAGCGTTGCTTCCTTTAATAGTTTAGCTTCCTATCCGTACTATGTTTTTTAAGACTGTTTGTCATTACATACTTAAATATCTTAGCGGTTAAGTATGTATCAGTCAATAATTGTTCATTATTTTGTCCGTTTTCTTTTCTTGTTCTCGAATTTTCCACGCCCTCCCTGGCTCATTGTTATGACCTGAAATATTACGGTATTCAGTAGTCATGCACTCGTGCTCATTTTAATACCCAAGCGTTGCTGCCATTAATATTTTTTCCGTTAATTTTTAAATTGTAAACTAGATTAACTGTTCTCTTTTCATTCTCATTGCAGTAAAAGAATTCAATTTTCGCTATCCATCCTCCTTATGGGTGTTGGGGTTGCAACAGTCACAGATTTGCAGTTGAACGCTCTGGGATCTTTCTTATCTCTTCTGGCCGTGATTACAACATGTGTTGCTCAGATTGTATCCTTGAAAATACTTAGTTTCATCTATGTTTCGTACCAATACTATGAGATAAATTTTGTAATAGATTGCATAGAAAAATTTATCACGGGACTCAGTTTTGAACATGCTTCTCTGCACCATTTCTTCTCCAGTAAGATCGTTTTTGATGATATGGTCTGCTAATTATATATGGAAAGAAACATCATGCATTTGCCTTTGGGCACTTGAGAGACGATAGCCTGTTCTAAGGTACATGAAGCGCACAAAGTGTTAACATGCAGAACATCCCTTGTCTCTCTTTTTAACCTGCAAGCTCTCTTGTGCTCACTTTGCATGTCTTTGAACAAGTGCCGTTTTTTTATTTGAGACTAATTTATGTCATTTGAACACAATTAGGAGAAATATATCTTAATTAGCTGCTTTTTCATGGTTGACTGATAGATTTTCATGGTTAATCAGCTCTTTTTATTTGAGTGTATTTTCCTTAATTAGCTGCTTTCAGATGACAAACACTATCCAGAAGAAGTATAAGGTTTCTTCCACCCAGCTTCTATATCAATCATGTCCATACCAAGCTGCAACCTTGTTAATCTCTGGTCCGTATCTGGATAAACTTTTGACCAGTCAAAATGTATTTGCTTTCAAGTACACAACGCAAGTGACGGTAAGAGTTGAAAGTATGAAAGTATTCTTTAGCTTCCTTTTTTCCCTCCACATAGATTCTCTTATAGTTTTTCATGCCCTTTTACATTTTTTTTTCTACTTTGCAGGTTTTCATAGTTCTTTCCTGCCTCATCTCAATTTCTGTCAATTTTAGCACATTTCTCGTAATTGGAAAGACATCTCCAGTCACCTACCAGGTTCTTGGACACCTGAAGACATGCCTTGTATTGGCATTTGGTTATACTTTGCTCCAGGATCCATTCAGCTGGAGAAACATCATGGGTATTCTGTTGGCCATGGTTGGGATGATTTTATATTCTTACTATTGTACACTTGAAAATCAGCAAAAAGCCATTGAAGCTGCCGCACTAGCATCCCAGGTTGGTTTTACTCGACTGGCACTTGACATTATCATTTACTAAAACAACATTCCGTGACACTGTTTTCACTAAATCTTTGCAGGCAAGGGAAGGTGAATCTGATCCTCTCATTAATTTGGAAAAAGGAAGCAGCGCTGTGACTGATAGTGTTGGACATATGTCCCCTGTATGGAGCAAAGACAAAGACTAATATGTTCATGACCTCTGTTAAATCATTGTGGAGAAACAATTATAGTTTCTATAGAGGGTTAAACCCTGTAAACCATATGGAATTAGGAAATGCTGCCAAAACCGTCTTATTTCTTAGTCTAGTGTTATGTGAATCGTTTGCCAACTATCGATATTAGGGAGAGGAACAATTACATGGTCATGTCACAATTCTCTTGGCCACAAATATGGCTCGTATTAGTAGCAGACATTTCTTGGTGATATTTTCACATCATGTTACATTCATAATTTTATATACATATATCCAAACTTTTTTCCCTCTAGTTTATTAGCTTCTTCTCTTTGTTTCGGCTATATCATGTCTTGATTGTGATCCTAACTATATTCACGCATTTCAAACCCCCCACAATGTTCACGCATGTTTTGGAACTGGATTTTCGGATAGCATATGAAACATAAATAAAGACTTTAAATATGATTTTAAAAGATTTTTTTTGCGGTATTTAATAAAGATTAATATAAAATTCAAATAAGTCTATAAAACTCAAATAACTATTATGGTATTATTCACACAATTAATTATTGTTGTATGAAAAATTGAAAAAGAAAAATGTAGTAATTCTTTTTTATATAACGCATAACAAAAAACACGGAATATATATTAACAATCTAACTCAAATTTGTGAGTCATATATCATATTATATTAATTTTTTTTTCTATTCATGTTTTTTTTCTTCTTTCATCATACTTCAAATGGTAGCTTTATAGAGACGTTGATCAGAATCTCGTGGTAGATTTTGGTATGACTGATCTTTTGATCAAATATCGTGGGGACGATATTTGGAAATACGTGTTAGTAGCTATCATATGTATGCGATATTTTTAGATTTTAAGAGTTTGTATCTAAATTTGAAGTCTTTTTTAAGTTTTTATGGTGAGGTCTTAGAGTTTTCAAAAATCTAGAACCTTCTATTTGTTATTGCGTAAGGGATCTAACAAGTCTTTGTTATCTAATGGTCTACAATGATCTTAGTAAGTCTTTATTGGGTTGACCTACCTTTCGGACTGAGTACACTTTTTGGTTTGGACTCACTTTATGGACCTAACATCTTTTGGGTCGGCCACACTTTCTAGGTTGAGCACTCTTGGACTGATCACACTTTCTAGGTCGAGTATCCTCTAAGCTGGATACACTTTCTAGGTCGAGTATCCTCTAAGTTGGATACACTTTCTAGGTCGACCTACCTTCAAGGTTGAACACTTTTCTGGGCCAAACACCTTATTGGTTTGGTATACTATAGGTTGGATACTCTTTCTTGACCTAACACCTTCCGAGTAGGTCACAGTTTCTAGGCTGAACACCTTTTAGGTTTAGTACACTTTCTGGGTCAAACACCTTATTGGTTTGGTATACTATGGGTTGGACAGACTTTCTTGACCTAACACTTTTCGAGTAGGTCACACTTTCTAGGCTGAACCTGAACACCTTTTAGGTTGAGTACACTTTCTGGGCCGAGCACCTTATGCACACATTTTCTAAGTTGACCTAACTTTTGGGTTGGACACCTTTTTGGGCCAAACACCTTATTGGTTTGGTATACTATGGGTTGGACACACTTTCTTGACCTAACACCTTCCGAGTAGGTTACACTTTCTAGGCTGAACACCTTTTAGGTTGAGTACACTTTCTGAGTCGAGCACCTTATGCACACATTTTCTAGGTTGACCTAACTTCTGCGTTGAACACCTTTTTGGGTCGAGCACCTTCTAGGTTAAGTATAATTTTTGGGGTGGACACGCTTTTTGGACATATCACCTTATGGACCGATCACACTTTCTAGGTCGGACACCTTCTTTGGTGAGTACACTTTTTGGGTTGACCACTTTCTATGTCAGATACATTTTCTTAGTTGACTTACTATGTGGATTTAGTACCTTTCTGGATCGAGCACCTTCTGGCCCATGACAACTAATGTGAAGCTTATATAACCTTGATTGTATTGGACTTAGATCACCCAAATATCTTATGAGCCTTATAACATAGGCATCTTATTTTTAGGCCTTTTGTTTGGTAGGAACAATTATTATCATGTTTTTAATACTTTTGATTTGACTTAATATTTTCAATTTAACATTCTTTTAAAAAATCTTCAATATTTTTCCAAGTTGTTGTTGATATTATTTTGACTATTATTATGTTATGCTATCTTGTGTGGCTCTGAAGAACGAGGTTCCAAATAAGATTTAGTTTGGAAAGAATGCCAACTATTATCATTTGAGGATTTTTGGTTGTAAGGAATTTGTGCATGTTCCAAAGGATGAAAGATTCAAGTTGGACGCAATGTCAAAGTAATGTATCTTCATTGGTTATGGCCAAAATGAATTTGGTTACAAGTTATATGATCTTATGAGTAAAAAGGTTATTAGGAGTCATGACGTAGTGTTCATGGAATACCAGACTATTGAATACATTAATAAGGTGAAGGAAAATATTACGCTCGAGAAAGATAACATTGTGTTTGATGTTGATCCAGTTTGGCTACCTGGTCTTAATTTGGATACTATTGATGACAATGTTTATAACGGTGAGCCACATGATTATGTTGATGATCAACAATTTGGAGATGAATCAAATATTTGTTGTCGATGATAGTCATGAACATGAGATGTAGAGGATGAAAATCCTAGTGATGCTTCTAAATCATCCCAATCCCAACTTAGGAGGTCCAATAGGTCGAGAAGACCTTCTACAAGGTATGAGTCTAATGACTATATAGCTTTGACTGGTGAGTGATACCTACATTTTTTTGAGAGGTCATGGAAAGTGAATAAAATCAAAAGTTATTGGATGTAATGCAAGATGAGATTAAATTCTTGCATGATAATCACACTTACGATTTAGCGCAATTGCCAAAAGACAAAAGGGTTTTGGAAAATAGTTGGATCTATAGAGTGAAACATGAAAGCAACTCTGAATGTCTAAGGTATAAAGATCTATTGGTGTTGAAAAGTTTTAGTTAGAGAAAGGGTGTTGATTTTAAGGAGATTTTCTTACATGTGGTAAAAATTTCACCGATTAAAACTTGTTGAGTTTGGAATCAACTATTGACCTATAGGTAGAGAAAATGGATGTGAAAGAAAACTTCCTTCATGGTAATTTGGAGGAAGAAATTTAAATGAAACAACCAAATGTTTTTCTTGTTTAAGACAAGGATGATTATGTGTGTAGACTTAGATAAATTTTATATGGTTGAAGCAAGTTCCAATGCAGTGGTAGAAGAAGTTTGAGTACGTTATGTCTTATGAAGGATACATGAATACTATTTTTGATCATTGTGTGTTTATTAGAAAATTTTATGATGTTCATTTGATTATCCAACTAATATATGTGAAGTAGATAGAAATGTCACAAGAAGGAGAGTTTGAATTGTGACCCTTTTAAAATTTGGATTTACCTTAATAAAAAATATAATCTCTCAAGGAAATCTTGGGGAAGAAAGGTTAGTATAAATCTCTCATAATATTTAATGTTATGAATGTGAGAATGTGATTGATAATACAATAAGTAAAGGTAGTAAAGTGTAAGAGAAGTCACACAAGAAATTTATACTGGTTCACGAAAGTGGCTACTTTAGTCCTCACAACCCGTGAGATTTCTTTACCAATGCTTGACAATTTTTCTTCTTGTGTGCACCTTTTCAACTATGTATTTTCTTAACCACACAAAACTTAAAATACCGGTTGATATAGCTTCAGTAAGCTTACAAAGTAATGTATAAGTTTTGTATAAATTGTGAATATATGTTTTTTGAGTAGTTTTGTTGGTATCAAAGAAAGACTAAAAACCTCACCATATGGTAGTGAGAGGTTTTTAGAAATATCTTTAATAAAATATGTTGGTGATTCTTGATGTGTAATGACTTTTTGTAAGAAAAATAGTATGTGTGAACTTTGAAGACTTTAATGTTTCCTTCCTTTTTTTCTCCATAAATTAACACATTTAAGAGAAAATGAGTGTTCTATTTATATGTGTATTTTAGATCATGAGACTGTTGCAATTTGTTTGAGAAGAGTTTAACCATGAAAATCAGAATTAATTACCAAGAGGCCATTGAAGCATTTTGGCTCCTCGGATCCGAGGGAAAGAGACTTCTTTGTCTTAGAACTTTCACTTTTAAGAAGGCAACTAGTATTATTCCTTGTGTACTTGTTACTATTTATTATGTACCATATAAGATAAAGTGAATTGTTTCTAGTCACACAACTATTAAAATATATTTTACGTTACTTGGTACCCAAGTAACTTAAGTATCTTCGCACTTGTATTTTCGACACTTGTATTCCTTAAATTTGTATCTTCGACTTTTGTATCCTAGAATATATCCTTTCTTCTTCTTTTCATTTTGAGGAATGTTATTCTTTTAAGTATCATCATACCGCTCAAAATAATTGCATTCAGAATTATCACTTCCACTATGTTAAAAAAAGGATAACGGTGTATACATATGGTAACTTAAAGGACCAAGTTGTTACAAATTTTTTTTTTAAATGATCAACTTGTTAAAATAAATAAATTAAAGGATCTCTGGTGTAAATTTAACTAATTATTATTAGATAAATGAACATAAATATAGAAAAAACATGTACCTCTTTTAGTGGTCTTTCTTACTTTTAGTCTAAAAATCTTCAATTGTTTTACTTTTGGTTTCTCCATATTCTTTGTAAGAACGAGATGATGGTTGGATATACTGCATTGATCGTCATATTGTGGTTTCTCTTCGGCTTCAATGCGATGGATGGAGGTAACATATAAGCTTAACACTCTAATAATCAAGTCAATGCAGGAAATTATTTGTGGAATTTTAAATGGAAGTGAATGCACCTCAAAATGGTGCGCTATGTTGTAACACCCCACTCCACCCCTTACGCGTATTACAAAACATATACGGAAATATTATATAAAAATACATCAGAGTTCTCAATTAAGTAGGATGTCACACTAAGTCACTTCATTTTTCATA